GATTCTTCAAGAACCCGAAATGTATCCAAACGATCCGATCCGGTCAACTTTCCGGCGAAGTCATCCATTTCATCACGGAGATCTTTATCTTCTTCTTCTTCCTTCTCATCTTTTTCCTCCTGCTCCTCTAGCTCCCTAGTGTTTCCAGGCGACTCTCCTCTAAATTCTCCGGCGACTCCTCTCCGTCTCCTCGGCGTTCCTTTCTCCTGGGAACAACTTCCCGGAAAACCAAAAGACTACTCTCATAGACTCAACAACCGTCTAAACAATGAATCTTCAAATATACTACCCCTTCCTCCTCACCGGAATCTTTCCTTTCCGACCACCGGAAAAAAACCTAAACCTAACAATTCCAGTAAGAAGAACAACTTCCCCGTTACCGTAAGAGATCCCTTCGCGGCTGCGTTGTTGGAATGTTCCAAAGACGAAGGAACAAACAGTGACGACGACGATGACGTTGAAGGTGGTGAAGACGTAGATCGGAGGTTTCGAGGAAATTCCGGTGGTCCGAGCAAGGTGTTGTCAAAGAACAGCTTCGGAGACAGGTTTGGGTTAGTGAATCTCTACGGTTCTTGTCGGAGAACTTGTGCAGTTTCAGAGTCCATTGTTTATCTTCCAAGATCAAGAAAAGCTGCTTCGTACGATAATCTTCTTCTTCCACGTCGTCGCCGTTGATTTGTTCGTATTTGGTGATTTACTATATATTTTTGTCCTTTTTTTGTGTTAAATTCTGTATAATTTTCTCTGAATGTGACATATTATATGGGTTTATGAGTTTGTGTTTTTTTTTTTTCCTCTTTAGATCGTATCACGAATGTAATATAGTTCAGAGACTTTATTTACTTATAAGTTGTAACCATAAATCCATATTGGCATATTCACTTACATATTGTGTGTGATAATTTTTTATACTTAAAATAATTATATTTATATTCGTGTTCAATTATTTAAATTTGGTGGAACCAAGTGTGAAGATTCTGTCATTCTGTGATCTCTAGCTAGTTTCCAATTCCATTCCATGTGAGAGCAAGCTAAGCTATATATATATGTGCAAATAAATACACAATAACATTGATTAACTTGTTAAACAAGGACATGAGTTTGTACTGACAGCTGATTTTGTTGTTTTTTTACCATTTAGAAAATGATGTCATTTTAGCATGCCTAGAAAATGATGTTATTTTAGCATGCCTAGGGACTTGAGCTGTGAATTTTAGTATTTTCATAGAGTTTTGGAAGTCTCTAAAGAAATGGATCTTTCATTATTATTGTTAGCATAAGGCAATATAATAATAAAGTTGTTGAGCCACCATGCATGTCTTTGCACCATGTATTTTTTTTTTGGTGAAGTTTGCACCATGTATTTTATACGTTTCAAATTAAATATAAACAAAAAAATCTTAGTAATTAGATGGAGTTTCTGTCTTTATTTATATTGTTAATAAAGACACTGTCTCGTCTTGTTTAGGGGTAAAATGGACCCCACTTTCCCATATTTGTGATATCAAAATGACTTCCGTGGAAAAATTCACATTCGTACCACCAAACTACCAATGAATAATTTGAATTTTTTTTAATTTTCATTATTTTAGAAAAGTGGATCAATTATTCCAAAAATTCTAGTAAAATACAACAGTATTTCAAATAAATGATAAGTTTTAGAATACAATCATACATAATAATTTGTATAAATGAAAATTTGAACATGTTTTTTAACAAAAAAAAGATCTGAACTATGTAATGCAATATCCGGTTTTTATCAAAATAAAATAAAATAATAATATCCGTTCTTCACATGTCCTGGTGGCATATAGTATAAAACTTGTTTTAAAATCGAACTATTAAAGGTGGGCAGATTATCACATTAGATTAATAAAAATAGTTCTTTTTCAAAGTAATGAATTAAGTAATCTTTTCAATTCTCATTGTATTGAAAAAGTTTTATCAAGAAAATGTATCAAAAATTATGTTCATTATCGAGAATTTATCTGCGTTTTTTTTACACATGTGTGAATTGGGTTTCTGCTGTTAACTTTATTTTTCGTGGTCATAAGATAATTATGTCATTAAATTTTAGGGACCCTGTAGAAATAAATAGTATGTAGTACACATATGCAACATATTACTATCTGCACTATGCAGTGAAAAATTGAAGTCAAAAGTCAAATATCAATGACAATTCATAATTGCGTACTCAAGTACTGTTTCTCCATCCGAATGTTACGCAACTCACATGATGTAATATTTGAATAGATTGTTCACATTTATGTCCCAAGCTGTAGTTAACATGTCTTGATCATGCTTAAGATATAGATTATGAACTTTTTTTATAATCAAGTTGTTTGGTTTAGCGTACAAATTAATAATATAATATAATGTTTTGGTTTAAATATATAGACAAATGTGTCACGCAATGCAAATATATGTTAAAACTTCAGGCTGGGAACTCATTCCAAGAGGTTTGTACCTGTTGCTGTCTTGGTTTACTTAGGATTTGTGAAACCAGTTTGCAATGTATTGGTAAATAATATAATAATTGCCACGAGATTGTTCCATTTTATCTTCTCTTTATATTTTAATCCGTATTTGTAACAATCATATTGCTCATAGTGTAAGGTCCGTAGTCAACTCGCAAACACCACCACCTTACTATTGCCAATTATCGATTGTTTTTACGCTAATAAATCTCAAATTGCAATTTTTTTTTGCGTATTTTTGCAATGGAAACATTTATGTATTTTAAAAAAAAAAAACAATACCTACGATAAATGGGGCATTATCACAATCTGTGGTGCTCAAAAAATGTGAAATTTAAAACCAAAATAAAGAAAAAGAAGTGAAATTTAGTAAGATTTTTTTGATATCAGGTTGCTGTTTTCGTTGGATCTAAGTAAGTTTGGAGTTGGAGCACTGAGAGGAATTAGTGGGAACCAAATAACCTAAAAAAACGTGGGATATTAATGATGACCAATTCTCTAATTAATATGAACATTACTTTCATCATTGTCATTTGTCTGCTACATGTATTCGCGTGTTTGCTTTTACATTATTGACTTATGCCTGAATATTATAACGCCATATAGTTTGAACAATAGACCCCTAAATGTATCATGAGCACATTTGGTATCCATAAAACTGATGGAAAAGCATCACAAAAGTGATAACTATCTCGGTTTATTTCTATCCTAATCAGATTTTGAAGTGTTAACTATCTCGGTTTATTTCTATCCTAATCAGATTTTGAAGTGTTAACTATCTCGGTTTATTTCTATCCTAATCAGATTTTGAAGTGTTCAAATAAGTAGTGACTATTTTTATGGGGAAAGAATATAACTTATAGATGTAAATATTCAACACTCGCATTCGCATATGTGTGTGGGCAATGGGCATGTGCATATTTTATACATAATAAATGAAAATTGGATGAGACAAGATGGACCGCTCTAAGATGTGTAGCTTGAGACTAAAGACACCATTATCATCATCCACCATCATGTCCTCTCTTTAGCTCTCTTTAGCACATGGAAAACAATATACTAAAGAAATTGTACTATATATATATATATATGGATCATTAGAAGCATCAAATCTGAAAAATTAAATCAAGTTTCTTGAGAGACAAACAAGCTGATATTATTCTTTCACTTAAGAGTATTTTCTACAACATACCATAAGCCGGTGGTTATTTAATAGTGTTAGTAATCTTGAATTGCATACATTTACGAAGGATTGTCTGCATAGTGGATAGTAATCATCAAGAAACTAGGTCAGGCTCATTTCATCAAATTACTAAAAATTTACCAACATATTTTATACGAGTTTGAATCCATGTAAATAATACAGTAATAAAACTTTGACAGGGAAAGAGTGTGATTTTGACTTTTTGAGATGCAAGATAACTGGATATATTTAATGCCTTAATGATATAAAAGATCGAGCGTGAACCATGTGAATGTGATCAAACCCCAAGTTAAGCTAACAAGTAATAACACAGGTCAAAGACATACAAACATTTGTGTTTAGAGTGTATAACCCCATTCCAAGAGTGTCCAACCAAAAGCCATAATATAAGAGATTTATACCGATCAGGTTACACAAGAAGTTCTAGAAAACCGCTTCTCGTTGATTTCGATTTCGACAAATAGGATACAATACAAGCCAGCCCAGCGTCTGCACGGTTACTCAAACTCCCTGTTTGATAATTGAGCTTTGGTATCGCAATTTCCAATTAATTTGAAAACTCGAATTAAAGGGTCAATAAGAAAAACTGTGATTGTTTTGTTTGTTTTTAAATGGGCCATGGGGTTCTAATATCCAAGCTTTATATGACAAATAGTCAAATACACATTCACGTAGTTAATGGGCTTATTTAAGGCCGACGCTAAGAATAGACTGAAACTAAAAAAGAGAGGCCCATTATATTAAAATCAACACTAACGGTTAATTTTGCAATATTTTCTCTATCCCTTCCTTGTTTTTTTGTCCCTTCTTAATATGTATCATAAGGTACAAAGCGAATAACGAATCTTAGAAGGTTTAAGAAACAAAAAGTGAATTATTTAATACTATCAAAACCAGGAGTAACAACAACTAATAATGTGTGTATTATGGTTTTGGATAGCAATTTTATTTAAATCAATAAATTATTTTTTGATAGAATGGAAGGGACCATCATGTTCCGTTGTCTCCAAGAGTTTACGAACAGATACAAGTTATCTGGAGAATTAGTTCCAAATTATAAACTATTTTTTAATACAACTTTCCACATCTTTTGTTGACTGTTTATTCGAGAAGAAAGAAAGAAAGATAACACCTTTATTAAAAACAAAGATAACACCTAAAACCCATTAGGTATAATTTAATTAAAACCAAATTTTTGAATCCGTGTAACCATTAACTTGTGTGTGTGGTGATTATATTGCTGTAAATGACTCATATATATATATATATATATATATATGATAATGATCAAACCTTATAATTGTAAAATAAATGCTTTTTTTGGCAAATGAATCTTTAGAATTAAGAAATAAACAAATATTGTTAAACCAACAAATGAACCAATGGATCCACAAACAAAACAAAACCATGAGCTCTCAATCTCACCATGACTCACTTACTACGTGTATCTGTCTTTTTACAAAAAATACATTTTAAATTATTTTAAAGTTTCATCATTTATCCGATCATTCGATATATATGCGAATAATAATGTAAAATGCTGACAAAGTAACCTAACAAAACTCGAATCAGAGAAATCCAGATATTATTACTACATAAGACAATTTTAGTAATTAGCTTTCAAATCTCATCTCTTTATTCTCTCTCTCTCTCTCTTTCTTCTCTTCAAGAACCCTAAAAATCTCCAGAAAAGATCCCAAATTTCAACTTCCCATTCTCGTATTTCGACGATCTGAGTCTCTCTCTCTCTCTCGGGTTTAATTTGTTTCCTGATATGGTTTAGACTTTGTGATCTAAATGGAAGCTGACGTGTCAATTATCTGAAAAAACCCTTATCGCGAAATTTTCCAGAAACCAAAAAAAAAAATTGAAACTTTTTTCGATTTTGTTGAAGAAGCACGGTAGGGACGATGAATCGTGCTTTGGTCCTACTTTTATACGTTTATACTGTTTCTTGTTTAGCTTCAAGCAAAGTTATTTTGATGAGGAACAACATCACTCTCTCTTTTGATGACATCGAAGCTAATTTCGGTGAGTTTCTTCAATATCACTCTGTTTTCATAAGCAATCTATTCAGATTTTGGATGAATTTTACAAGTTTTTTGAATCTCTAATTGGGTCAACGCAGCAGAGAAAATATGAGATTTTTAATCTGTTACTTGCATAATTGGCAGCTCCATCAGTGAAGGGTACAGGTGAAATTGGACTAGTTTATGTGGCAGAGCCTCTTGACGCTTGTCAAAATCTTATGAACAAACCAGAACAGAGCTCCAATGAAACTTCCCCTTTTGTGTTAATCGTTAGAGGAGGCTGTAGTTTTGAAGAGAAAGTGAGAAAAGCGCAGAGAGCTGGTTTTAAAGCTGCAATTATCTTTGACAATGAAGACCGTGGAACATTGATTGCAAGTATGAACCATTCTTCTTAGTTTATGTCTTGATCCTATGATTCTAGTGTCTGCTGGTCTTGATTGTTTCGATATTTGCAGTGGCAGGTAACTCGGGAGGTATAAAGATTCATGCGGTTTTCGTTACGAAAGAAACCGGAGAAGTGTTGAAGGATTATGCTGGTTTTCCCGATACTAAAGTTTGGTTGATTCCAAGTTTTGAGAACTCGGCGTGGTCGATTATGGCGGTTTCATTCATTTCGCTGCTTGCAATGTCGGCAGTTCTTGCTACTTGTTTCTTTGTGCGTAGGCATCGCATAAGAAGGCGGACATCTCGGTCCTCTCGAGTCCGTGAGTTCCATGGTATGAGCCGCCGCTTGGTGAAAGCAATGCCGAGTCTTATATTCTCCTCGTTTCATGAAGACAACACTACTGCATTCACTTGCGCTATTTGCCTCGAAGACTACATTGTTGGAGACAAGCTCAGGCTCTTACCTTGCTGTCACAGTGAGTATATATATATACGAAATCCTGTAACTCAGAGCACATTTGTTAGAACTTAGAACTAACTAACAATTCTGTCGTTCCGTCTTCGTGTTTGTTTTCAGAGTTTCATGCTGCGTGTGTTGACTCGTGGTTAACCTCTTGGAGAACTTTCTGTCCGGTGTGCAAAAGGGATGCAAGAACGAACACGGGCGAGCCTCCGGCTTCAGAGAGCACGCCATTGCTCTCATCCGCTGCATCGTCCTTCACCTCTTCCTCTCTGCACTCTTCCGTCAGATCATCCGCACTATTGATTGGGCCTTCCATGGGCTCATTACCGTCGTCAGTCTCTTTCTCTCCCGCATATGTGAGCTCATCCTATATCAGACAATCGTTCCAATCTTCCTCTAACCGTCGATCTCCTCCAATAAGCGTAAGTCGAAGCTCTGTGGATCTCAGGCAACAAGCAGCTTCTCCATCACCATCACCATCACAGAGATCATACATTTCCCATATGGCTTCTCCACAGTCACTGGGTTACCCGACTATCTCCCCTTTCAACACGAGGTACATGTCACCGTACAGGCCTAGCCCGAGCGATGCATCACCTGCAGTGGCTGGATCATCAAATTATCCGTTCAATCCACTGCGTTACAGTGAATCAGCCGGAACTTTCTCTCCATACGCCTCTGCAAACTCGCTTCCAGACTGTTAAGAAGTCCGTGGAACCAACCTGGTCTGGCTCGGGTCATACAAAATTATGTTCTTTTGCATTTGAGTTTTACTACGAAACGTACGTCTGGCGTTTGTGTATGTGTGTGTGTGTGTGTAACGATGCTTTTATAGTCTTTTGGTTGAGATGAAACATCATTCGGGTTTAGGTTAGAGATTTTAATACTTCCACAATTACGCAAACTCGGTTCCTTTGTAAAAATATGAGCTTATTATGTATATACACGTCTCTTTCCTTGTTACAGTGTTGTAATTGTAGGCATATGCATTTCGGGTGTGAAATTCAAATTTCTGATTACTCGAAGTATGTTATAGTTCAATTGCGATGGTATGAAAAAACCGTTTCCCGCTATCGAATTAGCAGCAATTGGGTGGGCTTCATGTAAATAGTATTAAATAGGCCCAATAAAGCTCCAGTTTCTTCTAATATACCTAGCCCAATTAACATAAACTTTTTAAACGACAGCGTTTTGGGAATTTGTAATTTGGTAACTGGGACCAGTAGTAGAGAAACTGACTACGCTAAAAGTGAATGAAGAAAAGTCCATCCCACTGTTGGCCGGACTTTTCACCTCCGGCGACGTCGAGGATCTCCGGTGGTTTAAGGAATCAATCTCACCATGCCAATGAGACACCTCAACGCTATGGCCACTTTACTAATGATGTTCTTTACTCTCTTGATCCTCTCTTTCACAGGCATTTTAGAATTCCCATCTGCTTCAACGTCGATGGATCATTCAATAGACCCGGAACCGAAATTGTCTGATCCAACATCGGATCCATTCAGTGATATCCTCGTAGCTTATAAAAAATGGGACTTTGAAGTGGGTTGTGCTCGGTTTAAGGAGAATCACAAAGATTCGATTTGGGGCAATGTTAGTTCGGGTTCTTTACAAGAATTTGGTTGTGGTAAGCTTAAGATGGATCATGTTAAGGTTTTGGTTAAAGGGTGGACTTGGATTCCTGATAATTTGGAGAATTTGTATTCTTGTCGTTGTGGGATGACTTGTTTGTGGACTAAATCATCGGTTTTGGCTGATTCTCCTGATGCTTTGTTGTTTGAGACAACAACTCCTCCGCTACAGGTAATAAAATTGTTTGATGCTAATTTTTGTTAAAGTATGTTGTGTTTTGGAAAGTAGTTATAGATTTGGATGATTGGGACAGATTAGATCACAACACTATCTGTTATTATTGCCCAAATTGGATGTAATATGCTTCACTCTTGCTCTTAAGTTTATTTAGGTTATCAATTCTTGGTCTGATTGTGGTCTCATGTCTTATTTTAAAGTTTTTGAGGAATATGGTCTGGTTCACCATCGAGTGTTTATGTTGTTTTTTTCAATTCAAGATACTAGAGAAGATCTTTTAGTTTTATGATTCACTCAAAGATACATATTGTGTGCTAAAATTTCTAGTTTTAATCCGGTTTTTCATTGCTGGTCTATATCGTTCAAGAATTTTGGTTTGTAAAATGGAAAATTTCAGAGTTTCATTGTCTAGGCGAGCTTATTGTAACCAGAAGAAACTTTGTGTAATGCTATTATTGTTATTGGTCAATTCATATTGGAAAGTAGGACATAGATTTGGGTGATCAGGGCAAATTAAATTCTCGTTCTTATTCTTGTTCTTGTTCTTATTTAATGTGTGATCCTTCAATGGCCTGCTTCACTATAGTTATCTTCAGTTTATTTGGATCCCATTGATGCTGATTTTCTTGATGTTTTCCTTAGAGACGTGTTGGAGATCCGCTCCATGTGTACATGGAGCTAGAGGCCGGAAGAAAACGCTCAGGCCGTGAAGATATATTCATCAGCTACCATGCCAAAGACGATGTCCAAACTACTTATGCGGGTTCGCTCTTTCATAATAACAGAAACTATCACATCTCTCCACATAAAAACAATGTTAGTAAACCTGTTAAACTCCAATTCTTTATGTTTTTCTTCCACTTCATCGTCTTTTAATTTGGTTGTAAACATTGCACAGGATGTTCTGGTGTATTGGTCTTCCTCAAGATGCCTCCTTCCCAGAGACCGTCTCGCAAAGAGCCTACTCGATCTGATTCCTTACCACTCCTTTGGTAAGTGTCTTAACAATGTCGGTGGCTTGGACGCAGCTCTCTCTATGTATCCAGAATGTGTCTCCGACTCTAATGCTGAGCCAAAATGGTATGACCATCTCCACTGCGCTATGTCACACTACAAATTCGTCCTTGCAATTGAAAACACAGCTGTTGAGTCATACGTGACCGAGAAGCTTTTCTATGCGCTCGACTCGGGTTCTGTTCCGATCTACTTCGGAGCCTCTAACGTTCAAGACTTTGTCCCTCCGCATTCCGTGATCGACGGTAGCAAATTCGGCTCGATGCAGGAATTGGCGGCGTACGTGAAGCGGCTCGGTGATGATCCTGTGGCTTACTCAGAGTACCACGCTTGGAGGCGGTGTGGACTGATGGGGAACTACGGGAAAACCCGCGCAGTGAGTCTAGATACGTTGCCGTGTCGGTTGTGCGAAGAGATTAGCAGAAGAGGCGGCAAGAACGCCGGAGTTTGACGAGCCACCGGTGGTTTTAGAGGTCCGGGATTGTAACATTTAGAGTGGTTACCAGGGTGTAAATGTTATCTCATGACCTGTTTCTGTTATATAACAACTTTTTTTCCCTATATAATCTCACATCATATAGTAAATTGAATAAATCATAGTTCAAGGGACATAAACAGAATCATCACATGTAGTCGAGTAGTCTGAACTTTTGCCCTCAAAACGGACATGTCTAAGACTTATAGTACTATTTTTCTTAATCAAAATGGATTATGACTTCAGAACTTAACAAAATTTATCACCGTAAATCTTAGAAAAAAAAAAAGATTAAAATTTAATGTTAGTAAAATATAGTACTTCTTTTGCGAAAAATAAGTTTCTTATTGTAAATTTGTAAATTGTAATGTAACAAATGGAAAAAATAAAATGAAATACACAAACGTGTAGCTCATAAAATCATTTGTACATCACATTATACATACATGTGTCTTCTAATATTATCTCTTAACAGCATTAAGAAAAAAATAAAATGTAAGATATTTAAGCTAATTAAGCTAAATTTTCTAAATATAACAAATATGCACAAGAAGTACATAAAAAGAAAGAAATAAAATAGAAATGCAAAAAAATCAGATATGATGATTGGTGAGATATATATCTTCCTAGCTTAGCTCTCTCTATATATGGGTTCCTTCTCTTAACGTCATTTTTTCTTCTCTCAAGTGTTCTTAAATTTTTTAGGTGTTTGCTATTTTTCGTGAAGCAATAAAAGAGTTTTGTTGAACAAGTTAGCTATCTCCATGGACCGACCAAAGAAACGGGACGTACTACGAGCGGTGAATTCGATGAGCTCCCTATGCCAGAATGGCGAAAAAAGGGAAGGAATTCGAGCAGTGAACTCCGTGTGCTCGATATCCGAACTGATGGATGAAGACCTACTGTCTCGGCTGCTTGACCGTCCAAGGCTTAAACTTGAGCGGAAAAAATCATACGAGGAAATGTCTTTAAGCCTCTACGACAGTGCACACTCACTAGACGGTAGGTCGGGTTGGGATACTCCGGTTTTCTCCATGAAAGACTCGTCTGACCTTAACCCGATGGTCACAGAAGCTTGGGAGGCTCTCTGCCGGTCTCAGGTCTACTTCCGAGAAAAACCGGTAGGAACAATCGCCGCCTACGACCATGCTTCCGAGGAGGTCTTGAACTATGATCAGGTATGATTTTGTGTTTTGCTTCTTTCTAGTTTATATTTTGTTGTTTTGATTTTGGTGAATTTTATGAACTCTTGAGACATAAAAGAGAAGAACAAAATTGGAGTGAATCGCAAGTCAACTAGAACAATTTAAAAATTTACAAACTATGATTAAAAGTGTTCTGCCTCATTACTATATTTCTTGCCTATTGTAAGGTATTCGTACGTGATTTTGTACCGAGCGCTCTAGCGTTTCTGATGAAAGGAGAGCCTGACATTGTGAAGAACTTTCTCCTAAAGACACTTCATATTCAGGGACAAGACAAAATGATCGACAAGTTCAAGCTTGGTGATGGCGCAATGCCAGCGAGCTTCAAAGTTCTCCATAACCCTATCAAGAAGACGGATACGATCATCGCTGACTTTGGAGAGAGCGCTATAGGGAGGGTGGCTCCCGTCGACTCGGGGTTTTGGTGGATCATTCTCCTCCGAGCTTACACTAAGTCTACAGGAGACCATTCTCTAGCTGACAGACCTGAGTGCCAAAAGGGAATGAGGCTCATTCTCTCTTTATGTCTCTCTGAGGGGTTTGATACTTTTCCGACATTGCTCTGCGCAGACGGTTGCTCCATGGTCGATCGTAGGATGGTTAGATCGCTTTCATCCTCTTGCCTATATAATTCCATAAATCCAAGAAACTAATACTTTTGACTTTTGAATATGACCATCTCAAAGAAAATGAGCCCCAATTCATATACATATATCCCATGTGCAAATGAACCCCTTGAACGTTCTCATTTTGAAATGTATTGTGCAGGGCATTTACGGCTACCCGATCGAGATCCAAGCCCTCTTTTTCATGGCTCTTCGATTCGCACTCTCGATGCTGAAACATGATTCTGAGGGTAAAGAGTTTATGGAAAAGATAGTGACGCGGCTTCACGCGCTGAGCTTCCACATGAGAAGCTACTTTTGGCTCGATTTCCAGCAGCTCAATGACATTTACCGTTATAAGACGGAGGAATACTCACACACCGCAGTAAACAAGTTCAACGTCATCCCTGACTCCATTCCGGATTGGATCTTCGACTTCATGCCTCTCAGAGGTGGCTACTTCATTGGAAACGTCAGTCCCGCCCGCATGGACTTCAGGTGGTTTGCGTTGGGAAATTGTATCGCAATTATTTCCTCATTGGCCACGCCAGAGCAGTCCATGGCCATCATGGACCTGATTGAGGCCCGGTGGGAGGAACTGGTTGGAGAGATGCCGTTGAAGATATGTTATCCGGCGATGGAGAGTCACGAGTGGCGGATCGTCACTGGCTGTGACCCTAAGAACACAAGGTGGAGCTACCACAACGGAGGCTCTTGGCCAGGTGAGTTACCTTCTTTTACAAGTCAATGATAATAGTTGATGGGATCTAATGGACATTAATATATTGTATACATATATTTTATGTCGTCAATTTTTAAATACCTTAGATAGCGTAAACATGAAAAAATAAAAGAATGAAAATAAATAATAGATGCTACACATGAGTGATATTTTTCTTTTTTTATATCTTTAGGGAATCCGATGCCGAAACCGACATTAATTCTTGGATTTTTTTTGCCGTCTATAATGGCCAAGTCATATTTAACTCTTAAATCTATTTAGTCTTTCTTTTGTCCAAAAAAAGAAGTAGAGTTTGTTTTCATAATGTTTATTGTGAAAGATAAAACCAAAACAAGATCCACGTAAATACTTTCATCATAATCTTAAAGCTAGCACGAGCGGAGGGTCGTGTTGACTAAGTCTAGACGACAGTCGTGTTTACAAGCAAGGGTTCATATTCCAGGTAAAGGGAGCGATTCGGGCCTCTTGCCTCTGTGTTGCTCAACCCACTATTAGGAACTGTGAAACCCCGGCGAGTACTATTGACTGCCGTGTTCGACCGTCGTATTGACGGACCACTTATGCTAACCTTAAGAGAACAATACAGAATCGCGACTGTGTTTAGAATAGAAAGAAACAAGGTTTATGAAGAAAGTAGGAAGTCTGGAAAACTTAGAGAGAAGTTAGAGAAACATTTTAGAGAGAGAAAGCTATTATGAAATTTTATGATATTTCAAGTTATGAAATCTTACAAGGGGTACACACTTATTTATAGGAGGTTTTTAAGGCGCTGACATAAGCGCTTACCTCAGCGATACATCATCGCTTACATCATTGCTTACATAATCAATACATCAGCGATTACATCATCGCTTACATCATTATTTATTTTACATGATTTTAAACATATCATATTATATTTTATATTTAACATACCGCTTAATGATCCATTTCGAACTCCAGCATATGTTCTTCGCAGCATCCATAATGATCACCTGGACATTCATACGAGTTCTCGATCATTCGTGCATCTTCTCCTGGTTGAACATTTATGTAGAATTTGAACTTCTTTTCGATTTCTTCAACGTTTACTTCATCATCTGGGGATTGAGCGTCTTTGAAGTAATCGGCACAGTAATCTTGAGAAGTCATCTGGGGAGTTGTCTCTTGTTTATCTTCTTTTGGACTGCTTGGTCTTCCTTTGTTGAACTTCATCATGTGATACTGTAAATCTTCATCAAGTTGCATCTGATAGTCGACTGGATAATAAACCCAGTTAGGTATGAACGGAATGGGGAATGTTTGTCTTGCATTGTTGAGGTGAAATGCATGAGTTTGAAAGTTCTCGTATGCTTCGTTGTCTTGAAGGTTGAAATCTGGACGAACTCCTCTTGAAAAATCACCGTGATGAATGAGAGTTGGAAGAGCAAGGATTTTGCTTGTTTTGCGGTTGACCTTAACGGGACGATGAAAGAAGTAGATTGAATGTGGATTGAAGAATGGGTTGAGTCCACCTTTCTTCAACTTCTTGAATGTTAGATTCGTCGCATTTGCGGATCTTCGTAGTTTTCCACTCCAGACAGTCAATGATGAAAACCACCTTAGGAACGTTGAGAAGCTGTCTCTTTTGTCTTGAACAGTGTTGACGTAGTGGTACAGCCATTGGATGTCGAAAGCAATTCCTACAGTGTAGACTGCACAGAGATACCAGAGGAAACAGAGGACTTCTTCTGGCATATTTGAATTTTCGATCCTGTAAAGATGAGCAAACGGATAGTCAGGATGAATTCCCATTGGAACAATGTGATGACAGTTTACTCCATAGTTCGTCAGGATGGTAGATTGATATGAAAAGATCTTTGTGCGTAGTAGCTCATGAAGCTTGTTTCTGCTGATGAGTTGATGAACATCTTTGGGTACGTCTGCTTCAAAGTCATAGTAGCTCTTCTTGGATTCGGAGGAACTGGCCATCATGTGTATCTCGTCGGGCGTTTCTTGTTTTACAGATTTTCGACTTAGCATGTCCGCTAAAGTGTTCTTGGTGCCCTTTAAATAGACTGACTCGAAATCGTACTTTGAGAACCATTCACTCCATCTTAGTAGCTGCTGATACGGGACCATCTTCTGCTTGAACTGTAACATCTTGGGAAACGAAGACATATCCATTTCAATACGAAACTTGTGTCCTATTAGATGAAATTCAAACCTCTCGATAGCCTTTTTGACCGCTAAAATCTCCTTGAACGTTGAGTGATAATGTTGCTCTGAATCTTTGAAACGACCACTCTTGTATCCACAGATTTGTCTTTTCCCATCCATCTCTTCAAACAGTATTGCTCCCCAATACTTATCGCTAGCGTCTGTCTGTAGAATACGCATGCCTGAGGAGGGAATCTTTAAAGGAGGTAGCTTTTGCACTTCTGCTTTTAGACTTTTGATAGCTTCAGTTTGTCGTGATGCCCACAAAGGAGGATTTTTCGACAACATCTTCTGTAGAGGTCTTGTCATTCTGGAAAGGTGTGGAATGAAGTCTCCCACATAATTGATTACTCCAAGAAATTGTTGAATTTGTCGCCTTGTGAGATTTTCATCGGGAAAATCTAGGAGTTCTGTAGCTAAATGGGCCTGTGGTGTGAAACTTCCTTCTTTGATATGCATGCCAAGAAAATCAATGTTGGGCTGGGCTATTATCATCTTTCTGGCTGATAGCATGATTCCGCTTTTCTTGACGATGTCCTTGAACTGTTGTAGCGCCTTAATTGTGCTCCTCTTCGCTCTTCGAGAAGATGAGTATGTCCTCC